GAAGAAAAACTGAGGCTTTTCAAAACAAAGTTATTTATTTGAAGGATAAGAATAAAATGCAGAACACGGATTTGTACCTGGTATTGTGACTTTAGAAGTCTAGATTCTAAAAATGTCTTTCAACACTTATATTTATTGAATTCTTGAATTAATAAAATCTGTGAGACCTTTGTACTTCTCAGTTCCTGGAAGAAAAGTAAATCATCAAATAAGTAAAAAAAAAAGTTTTATCTAAAAATAGATGTTAGATTTAAATTAAACAGATTGATATTGATTTTAAATAAAACATCATTAACTTGTACTTATTTGCCATTTCCTTTTAGAAAACGTGTTTTAGCTGTTTATTTTTATGTTGTCTGCCAAATAACAAAGTTTGAGGTCAAAGAAGACAATGAACTTCTTCTCCTTCACCTGTACCATTTCCATGTAAGATGAATATATAAGATTACCCTCTGATAGCTCAATGTGAAAAATCAGTGAATCTAATGAATGAGTTGTCAAGTTTAAAATGTTTCTTTTAAATGACCTTAGAATTTTCCATAAAATTGTCCGTGATAGCAACAAAAAAAATGTAAATGTCTAAGACTAATTATTCAGCTTATCATACAGTGTAGTACTGGTATGCAAGAGGAATTTCTACTCAATATAAATTAGGAGAGACTAGGTTAAGTTGGAAAATGGAGTTTGCTTGCATGTTTTGTCCTCTGAATTTGATGTCTTCTTGCTAAAAGAATGTGAGACTACACAGCATGGCTCTCACCGCTGTGCCGCTTTCTGTTCAGAAATTTACTATGTTTTCAGTTTAATTTAATTTACTAAATTTTCAGTTTAATTTACTATGCATTTACTATGTAACGTGGAACTAGCGTTTTATGAAACTCTAGGAATAAATTTGAAAAAAATTGTGATTACGACAGTTTCTACAAAGACAACAATATGCAGTGTATCACTAGTGTAACTGTCCCACTAGCCTGTTTTGAAACTTGATTTCACTTTTATGTTTACCTTTTTTCTTTAAATTAAAAATTAAAAAGACACAGTTTCCTCTCTGTCTCTCTCTGCCTCTCTCTCTCCTTTAATCTACCTCCTAAAGAGTTTGCTCTTTCTCTCTGTCTCTCTCTCCCTCCCTCTCTCTCCTTTAATCTAGCCCCTAACCTACATAGATAGAAATACAGTGATTGCATCAGTGATAAAATGAAAGTCCATGTTGCTTCTAAGACAAGGTGATACAGGATTACAGGATCTACAAGAAAAAATAAGTTTTCTCTCACTGATCTTGAATCTAAGAGAGTATAAGACTGAGCCTAGCAAAGCCATTCTTTGAGTCCAAGAAAAATGCTTTCTGCAGATGGAGCAAACATAGAGCATAGATCTAACCAATAAAGAAAAAAGAGAGAGGGAAAAAAGAAACAAGAAGAAAAGAAAGAAGGAAAGAAAGAAAAAAAGTAAGGCACCCTGAGTGGTGTAAGTGAATAGTCATGTGTGAGCTACTGCACAAATTTTTAGCTACATGGAATGACCCATAAGCTCCCTTTATGCTTAAATTACCTTGGATTATTTATTTTTTTGATGTTTTATCACCAGCAATTGAAAGGGTGATGATAGTGATACATTATGGCCATCATGCATTTCCAAGATCATCTAATTTTAACAAACATTATTGAAGCAATAAATAATAGAAGTTCTGATGTAAAATGTAAACATATCAGTTTTAAAAATCCAAAAATATCCACATGCAGAAAAATACACTTTATATAGTATGGACACATGTAAGGTATTACATTAATGATATTATGATTCTTTGAGGATAATTCAAATTATTTATTCTGTGTTTAGCAATCATTCACTTAAGAGAAACAATAGATTTTCTTCATACTTTGAAAAAGAGTTCAGATGAAACCAATTTATAAAGATTTATTTATCTGAAATAGTAAACATTCTGCTAAGTCCAATAGGCCCATTCTGGAAGAAACTACATTTCTTCCTTCCATAGCCTACGCTATTCCCTACAGGAAATGCTTTAGAAGAGGCCCTTATCCTGGACTCCTACATGGTTTGAACCCTGCTGGATTCTGACGTTGTACAGAGCAGGAGCAGAGATTCAAAAAATCAGACTATGTCTGATAGGGGCAAACAATGCAAATGAGCAGTGAAACTTAAGCTTTAAAGAGAAATAATGCATTGATGATCTCATAAGTGGAGGCAGTAAATCTTGATTTGAAAAGTATTGGGAAGAACATTGTATCAAAGTCTTTCTCCGAATCACTGAATTTTTACATTGGTGATGCATATTTTAAACCTTTTAAATTCTCTCATAAAATGCAAATTCTTTTGGGAAACATAGCAGTTTAATTCATTTGAGCGTGGAGCAGTGGGGCGGGCTACACCAGACACCTTGCTCCACCCTGGAGACAGAGACTAGTAGGGAGAAAAGGCTTCAGAGGGAGGAACTTGTGCGGGTGGACAGCTTAGTCCATAACATCTGCTGCTTAGTTTACTCTGATTGGGGCACTAGACTGAGACTAGAAGAAGAGTGACTAAGAAGAACAAGGAGAGAACAGAACTGTGACCCATGGACAGATGGTTTTGTGAAGAGGTGGTATTGCACAGTAAAATATAAACTGATTTTTTGAAGCACTCTGCAATTTTTTCCTGTGAAATATTAAGAAACTTTTTCTAATCCAAATTCCTCAGGTAGTGATTGGGTTTCAGGTACAGAGAGCCCTCCCTGTCCACTTAGCTTCCTGAGTTGTCCAGCTTTTTTCTTCATTTTTCCTTTATGCATTTATTAGGCACTGCTACATACAAGTTAGAGTAAACTGGCTTTATAAATGAAGATACACAGTGAGCAAATGTGTTTAATTCCAAATAGGATAATATAGTTGAAAAAACTTACTCTGTGTACTCATAGTTTGAATAAAGTGATTCTGCTGAAGAATGTGTGAAGTAAAATTTATAATTTGATAAATTGGAAGTCTCATTTATAATAATGCAATTGTTTATTTTATGTTGAAATGCTTTCATCTATTCATTATTATAGAACAGAATCTTCTGTATTAGTCTAGAGCTTTTACAAGCAACTTTATCAGTGAAACATCAATTACATTTTGTAGCCTCTACAAGGTTCCTTTTTTACATTTTTACTTTATCAGTACATGTTTATGACACATAATGATTACATGCCTCATGGCGAGTTGGTACATGTACACAACACTTCTTAATCTCCAGATTTTGTTAGATGAAAAGATACTAATATTGACTACCTACTAAGGGCCAGACATTTGCTGGGAGATTCTCTAGAAAATTTTGCAATATGATTTACATTTTCCTAGCTTTGAAAATGATACTCTACTAGAACAAATAGAATATGATACAGTCCACAAATTAGTCCTTAGTTCTCATTTTTCTTATTCAAAATGGAATCAAAAGAGAAAGACTTCAGAGTACTATGAATGTGTTATGGTTGATACATTGTGTCAAGTTGGGGAGCCTAGAGGTTTGGCTAAGTGACTCAGCAGGAAGCCAGGGTGCTTACTTTGTATACATCCTGCGCCTGTGGAAGAGCAGGGCATGGAGATTATGTGAGAGCTACACGCCCCTTAGGTGGGGGTAGCCTGTTTACAGTGTAAGGCAGGGAAAGAGGAGCTTGCCGCCATTCCTCCGGTTTGCTCTGGCTGCTTTGCTGTTCGGCTGCCATTCCCCGCCTTTGCTCTTGCGTTGCTATCTTCTGCCTCGGAGCCAGCCAAGTATGGACTGAAACCTCCACGAACTGTAAGCTAAATAAACCTGTCCTTCCTTTATTTGGGGTGTTGGGTATTTTGTCTCAGCAACGAGAGAAAAGTAACCAAGACAGAATGCTTTGTATTGTGTTATGATTCATTAATACTTTAAAAGTCCTTCTCAATGTACAGGTCTTTGAAATGTGCTTAAGTTGCATTTTAAAGTTTTGATTGTAATTTAATTATAAAAGAATCCATGAAAATTGTGTGAAAAATTCAGAAAATACAGGCGAGCTCTATATATACAGACATAAGCAGATATAAAAAGGCTTGTGTGCTTTTTTAGTGGTGCTTAGAAGGATATAAATTTGTCAAAACTCATGTAATTATACACTTAAAGTTCATGCATTTTTAGGTACATTTTAACTCAGTAAAAAAAGAGACAAGGGTAGATGTGGTGTGGGCAAAAGGAGTAGACACTACGTTGTGTTACCCGGATTTGACTGAAACTATAAATTGCCTTTCTCAGAAGGGAGTTTCCCTTGTTGCTGAAGACTCTCTCAGAGTGCAGAAGCCAGGCATGAGACGTCACCGTTCCCTAAAGGTGGCTGTGGTTTGACACCAGGTCTGTCTATCCCGGGTCACACAGGTATCCAGCAGGTCCCAGGCGGCCCTTGCTCTCCTCTGCACCTGACTCAATTCTTCTTGCTTTCTGTCCTTGGTGACCAGTGGCAGCCCCAAGAACACACCAGACATTCAGCTGTGCAGCCACAGACCCGGTGGCTCTCTGCACAAGCTTTCCACGTTTATAACCCCCTTCAAAGGTAAACACATTTGAACACATGTCTTTCTGCGTCCATGCTGCCAGGTAAAATACAGGACACCCTGTTAAATTTGCATTTAAGATAAACAATGGAAGAAGTAGTGTAATTATACACTGCGTGGGGCATACTTAAACTAAACATTTTTTTTTCAATCAATTTAGTTGCTTTGTGTTTTTAAAGTCCTAAATCTGACAACTGTATCCTTCAGATTATGACTGGATACATGATAAAATGATGACTGCCTGTCCTGTTCTCTTTGAGACCTGAACTTCCCCCGGTTTTCACACATTAGTGAAATATCTCGTTGATATAATTAATCTAATTAATGCCAGAAGTCCCTTATTTCACAATTCTTTCTTTTACGCTTTTTTTTTTCCTTTGGGGCTACCCTAGGAAAGCACTCTAGCACTGGGCTACATTTTAAATAATTTATTTTCAGATAGGGACTCACCAAGTTGCTATAGCTGGTCTTGAAATGGAGATCTTCCTGCCGCAGCCTTCCAAGTAGCTGTGACTGTCACAGACTTGTGCCGCTGTACCCAGCTGTGTGATTCCTTTTGTCGCTCTGTTGTTGAGACTGAACTGCAAAATAGGAGGTCGACGTAACAGGAAAGTTTAACCAAATGCATGTTTACAGCAAAGGGCGCTGTGGCCAAACTCCATCGCTTGGTGCATCTCTTCTGTCACTGGCTTTTCACTCCCTTGCGTGCTGCTGCGTGCAGGGCTGATCCCCTCCAGAGAAGTTAGCGCAGTCCCACGCTTACATAAAGAAAAGGCAAATCTGATTTTCTCATTTCTAAGCAGAAAGCACACATCCTAACACACGTGACTACTGAGTAGCAATCTCCTACAGTCATTTAAAAAGATGGGTTTGTAATGGTTGATACATTGTGTCAATTTGAGAGGTCTAAAAGTTTAACTGAGCAACTCAGCAGGGAACCAGGGTCCTTGTAAATATCCTGTTTGAGGAAGAGGAGGGCTTGGAGATGGTATGGGCGGATAACCCGCACACAATTTAAGGGAGGAAAAGAGGCTTGCTTCCCCTGCTTTTGCTCTTTCTGCTTTTGCTCTCTTCCACAGTCTTGAGCTGGTGCCCCTGTGCCGTGCCACCCTGCCTTGGAGCCAGCTGATTATGGACTGAAACCTCCACAAAGTGCAAGCTGATAAAACCTTTCCTTCCTTAATTTTCTGCTTTGGGTATTTTGTCTCAGTAACGAGAGAAACATAACGAAGACAAGGTTTTAGACTCTAACAAGTCTGCGAGTAGATCTACTTATTATGTGATCTTGTAACTCCTTTGAACTTTGCTTTTTAAATCCACAAGTGGATCTTGAATGTCCTGAAACATATGTAGTTAATGTGAGAATTGTTAAACACACGTAAAGTTCCTAACACAGTGACTGCCACAGAGCAGATATCATTTTTTGTAGGCTGCTTTTTTGGTGGCAGGACATCTCCTTCTGTTTTGTAAAATATTTAATTTTCATAATCTTCTAGAGGTTTGCACAAATCTTGTATAACCACCCTTCAACCCTCTTAACTCTGGGAAATACATTCTACCTACTGAAGTCTTTCATTTTTCTATGAGCTTGCAAGGCCCTTTCTTCTCTTAGATAGCAGGGACAATCAAGCATTGACTTCAATAACTTGAATTTTCAAGTATTAAGGTTATAATACCTTTGTGCTATATGTACATACACAAGACATTTGATTTTAATGACATGTTTGCATTTTTGGGATCATAGAATCTGGTGTTTTCAGATGATTTTAGTCAGTGGTATTTTGTTCAAAACCCAAAGGAGTTGAAAAACCTTTATGAAAATCTAATTTTTTGTGTTTTAACTTTGGCAGGAGGCAGAAAACCGAGTCTGTAAACAATAAAACTTCAGAGCTGACATATCGCTAAAACGAAGAATAGTCACAAAATCACAAAGAGAGGGTGAAGTAGGTACATATTTGAGGACATTAAAGGTTATTATTTTAAGTGAGATGATGGTATTATGTTTATATTAAAGGAAAGAATCCATATCTCTTAGAGATTTAAAAAGGAAAAAGGAAACGTGGAAAGGACTCTTTAATCCGATGCAATAAAAATATCTTCTTCAGAGTGAGGTGACCTTGGTATCACCAAATAGAGACACTAAGCTTCTTCACCCCTTTCACAGTTGGGCAGAATCAGAAACCGAATCATTCAACAAGCACAAGTGCTGACGGCCACAGCCCTGAAAATGGGGTGGTCCGGCGCCCCGTGCAGATAATTGGAGCAGATAGTTGGGGCACGGTCCGAGCTGTGCTTCCGCTCTGAGCCCTCACCCTGAGCCCTTACTCCTCTCAGTCCAACCCCAGTTACCCTAAACTCCCCGCTCACTGCTCCAGAGAGAAGCGTGAACACAGCTCTGACCACTTTCCACCAAAGTTCGAGACCCACTTCATCTAAATCCCACTTGCTCCAGATTCTACAGTGTTTTTCTCCACTGGGGATTGGAGAACAAGCAGTTGCTCTAAATTCCTATCTCTCTTGCCTTTTGCATATACACTTCTGGTCAGGTAACTGAATATCCCTCTGCTCAGCTGTATGTATCTTAATCCAGTAAAGTCTCTCACGGGCATTGACTGCACCTGTTGTCATGTTTCATCTCAAATATTTGATTATTCCCTAATAAACCGTCCCACTCTCAATATTTCAACCAATGAAGTCATCCGTACATTGTTTGGGTTATTAAGATGTGATTTTGAAACATCTCACTCCCTTGACAAATGCTTTAGACTTCTTTACTATCTATAAACATCATGTTTCCTTGAGAAAAAATAGCGATATAAGGATTACCTGTTTATCCTCCGTCACATTCGATCTGCAGTTTCATTAGTTTAGCTGCCTCATGTGTCTCTTCATCAATGTGACTCTGCTGTCCAATAGTGTCTGTTATGTATCTATCACTTAATTAAAGTATATTAACGGTTAGTAGTAATAATAAAATCACGATTTTAAAGCATTTATATGTTAGGCACTGCATTGAGCAATTGCATATCAAATCTTATTCACTTCTCAAAATAATCATTTAAGAGAGTTAATTTTTTTTTTTTTACATTTTTTTCTGGTACCAGGAATCAAACTCACGACCTTGCGCTTGCCAGGTAGGCACTCTGCCACTGAGCTAATTCCCCAGCCTCCAAGGGAGTTACTTTTATCATTTCCATTTTACAAGTGAAAATACCAAGGCACCAAGTGGTTGGTTAGTCAACTTGCCAAAGTTTATTGGGCTACTGAGTAATTGAACTGATTCAATCAAGTCAAAAATATCTATGAAGACTTTAAGATTTGCCAGATACTTTGTTAATTTTGTAGTATTAATGGTGGAGAAGAAAAAAGAAGAAGCTTCTACTGTTCTGGAAGTTGGAATGTTGGGGTAGACTCAGCAGAAGGATAAATAAGGGTGAAAATAATAAGAATTCAAAGCTAACAGTTTTCAGTAATTCAGGAATTTCAGTAATCCCAAGTCTAAGGAAAGTATGACTAGTAGGAAACAGGCATTATAATCTACCAGGAACCATATTGTAAGGAAACCATCTTGTTTTTATCTTCAGAAATCATATCCAGTTGTGTATCCATGTCAGAACTATAAGAGAGGGCTTTGGATCATGGCTACCGTATAGGGAAGAAAGATGCAGCCACTGGAACAAGGCATGTCTCCATGTAAGAATGCAAATAGAGAGTTCTGTCTCTTCATAAATGTAACTCATTAGCACAGATTTGCTTCTTCATGATGAACCTTGTTTCCAGAAGAGCAATAACTCTGTTGGCTTTAAAAAATGAAATTATAGCAGTTATGGTAAGGCAGAATCCGGGTGCTAGGAATTTATATGGATAGAGATCCCAAGAAGCCCTCTAAGGAAAATCAGAGATGGGAGAAGAGATCCATAAAGCGTGTGTCAGTAACATGTTAGCACTACCAGACACTAAGGCTCAGTCTCATTCCCCTGGGTGTTTTCTAAGAGACTATATATAGTACACTTCAGCATTCCAGAGTCCAAAATACTAGGAGCTGGGTTTTATTCACCAATTTCAACCTTTCACTGGTGAGAGTTGTTTCTGGAGCACTCTTCTCCTGTCCACAGCAAGGGTCAGATTAATTTCTCCAAGGCAGAGGCACACCTGCTTTGTGGGGATACCGTAGATGTGTGTGGTGGGGAACTTGCCACTAAAGCTACTTCAGATCACCCGAGCATGCGGAAGGATATGAGTGGGACACCATATTCATCTCATGCCAACCAGAAAAAAGGTCAGTTACAACCCTTCAAAGGGCGTAAGTTTAACAGAGTTGAAAATCAGTTCTAGGGTCAATTCTATGCATTTTTAAGGTTGTGGAATCTTTGCGAAGAGACGTACAGTGGGAATAAACTTCTGTTCCACAGGATACTGAACTCTCTTCACAAATAGAAAATCCAGCAGGGAGATATTCTTAACACTGCACTGCTTCCTCCCTCGTGGTGAATCAGCGCAGAGCTGTGCAGTAGTAAAGATAAAACTCTTCAGTACAGACTGAGTTTATTTTAAAAGAAAATATAGCATAATCTGTCCCTCTTTTCCTTCCAGATAATCTAATATCCCTCTCACAACATACTACTTTCACCTCTCCATAGAGTAGAGCAGTATACTTAGTTCAGAGAGAAATAATTCTATCTTTTAGGAAGCTATTTTGAAGTCACATAGATAGCTTAACTATATCTTTCAAATATAATTTTCATCACTTTGTAAAGCTAAAATGCTATGCTAATTTTTCTTCACACATACATAGAAAATATTCCAATGATTAAGATCTGTCTAAAAATTTATTGTTTTATCAGAAACTTCAGCAAGAATAAAACACTCTGAAATGAAGTTTCACTTTTAAGTTATTACTAAAGACTATAAATAATTTTCAAGTCTTGGTGAGGAACAAAGATACAGACTTTCTTCTGAAAATTAGAAAATTAGCCTACTGTTCATATAATTAATAAGTGATTAGCTCATTTTCACAAATTACCCATATAGTGTGCATTTGAAATAATTATCGTTTGGCTAGAGCTGAAAATTTTTCTCCTGTTCAATAGTAATTCAATATAATTATAAAGGCATTTTCTTTCCTTTTGTGTTTTTTTAACCTTATTCTTGCTAACTTCATTATTTGACTTGCATTTCTGTAGAAATAATTTCTGTAAATAATACAGACTAAGAGCTAAAGCATAGTTCCGATCACTACTTGTTAGCGAAGGTTTTTTTTCCATAGAAAGAATTAGTGTAGAGCAGGAGCTATCAACACTTGACACGAAGTTCCCCTGTCCTGAAATGACTAGTCACCCAAGCTTTACCAAGCCAAGTGCATTGGTGCAATTTATTCCACATGTAAGCTGAGTATCTTTAGCCGAAAAGTTGAAATCTGAAATGTTCCAAAATTTAAACATTTTGAGTGTCAATATGGAGCCACATGTTAAAAATTCCGCACTTGACATTACGCGACAGGGTTTAGTCAAAATGCAGACCAAGGACTCAGAATTGTTTACAAGTATTTCCAGACTGTGTATCTAAGATGGAAGCATAAATGGATGCTGTGTTTTGACGCAGTTCCTATTTCTAAGGTGTCTCACTGTATACATGACTATATCCCCAAATCTGGAATAAAACAGCAAAATTTGAAACATTTTTGTTCTAAAACATTTTAGATAAGGGATATTAAATGCTTAAGACCTTAGGTTCTGCTATAAAATTTGAGTCAGGCTAACTGACCCCACTTTAGACTCTAGTATGTAGGGGTCCATGTCTAACGTTCAGAAAAGTTCAGATGGCCACAAATACTTTTTTGTTTTGTTTTGTTTTTTTCTGGCACCGGGAATCGAACTCACGATCTTGCACTTGCCAGGCAGGCACTGTGCCACTGAGCTAAATCCCCAGCCTGTACACAAATACTTTTAAAACTTGAATTATTCATGCAAAAATGAAGTTTGGAATTCATTTCCAGTGACACTGACCAGCCGCGGTGCAAAGCCACTGGGATAGGAGTGAGTATAGGGGTGGTACAATGGTAGGAAGGAGTTGTGTTCTCCAGACAGTTCTTGTAATGTGACCTTGGTGGGGCTTCCTGCTTCCTAACGCTCCTGCAGTTCCTGAGTTCAATTCTCAAGCCTTTGCTTTGCTTGAATGACCTAGCTAATATTCTTCTTAGAATTTATTTTTCTGCTTAAATCTATCCTAATCATTTATTTTTTTGCTTACAAACTAGTGCTGTGACTGACACATATATTATATGCATAAAACTGATGGTGACTCCTTAAATGTGTGCAATTTGTCTCCATTTTCAAAGTACTTTCACATGCATTATTATATTGCTCTATAATACTACTTGAAAATAATGAGCCCCGAAGAGGTTAAGTGATTTAGCAAGGTCATGAGGCTAGAAATTGACAGAGCTTGAGTCTTGCCTCCTGGCGCTCAGTCCAAATTTTTGCCTTTTTATACTAAACCATGCTCCTTTGTCTAGAAATACAAAGCCAGCTGCTGATTTCATTAAAAATAAATCCTTCAATTACTGAATCTTGTCTGACTCAAACCAATAATAATTGGACCAACCAATGGATGATTAACCAAATGTTTTACATTTTTGCTGGATTTTACAGAATACATCTGTCAAATGCACACTGCCTTTTCTCTGTCTCTCTCTCTGAGCTTTAATATTTCATCAAGGACCAAAACAGTGACATAACTGCTGATTCAAAAATGTAACATTCAGGAATGTTAGAATGAAGTCAACTAACTTTCCAGAGATTAAACTATCAGATAGAGGACCTTTGAATGTCAGAAAAGACCCCTGGAAGTACTGGTACAACTGAATGAAAACTTCTAACATAACCAATTAATGTTGGAGCTCAGTATTGGTTCTTCTTTCAGTTACACTTTTTGTGACAAATATTGAGAGTTCAGAGGGATTTTTTGATACAGGAATCGAACTCAGGACCTTGTACTTGTGAGGCAGGTGCTGAGCCCCTGAGCTATATCCCTGGCCACTGAGAGTTTAGAGTTTTATATTGCAACATATTTTTAAGAACAGTAAATTTTATAAGAACTTTAAATACTGGCTGTATTAGGGTTCACTACAGAGACAAAATGAATAGGCTAGAAATAGATAGATAGATAGATAGATAGATAGATAGATAGATAGATAATAGATTGATTTTGAGAATTGGTTCAGGTGATTATGGAGACTGAGAAAAAAACCAATATGCCATGTGCATGCTAGAAAAGCAGTAGTGCAAATTAGACCAAATACAAAGGCTTGAGAACCAGAGGGGTCAGGAGTGTAACCCCAAATTCAAAGCAAAGGTCTGACAAGTAAAGGAAGGGCGGGGTAGAACTGGTCCTTGGTATAAATCCTGGAGACTAAAGGCTCAGGAACCTGATGACACAGATCCAAAAAGGAAGGATGCCTCAGCTCGAGAGGAGAGCAAGTTTGCCCTTGCTCCATGCATTTGTTTAATTCACCTTCTGGCTAGATAGGAAGCTGACCTCTCATACTGGTAAAGGTGCATTTTCCTCTGCCTTCTGGTTCAAATGCTACTCCCTTCTGGAAACAGCTTCACAGACTCATGAAGTAACATTTCACCAACTATCCAGGAACATCTTAGTCTAATCAACTGAAACATAAAATAAGCCATCATATGAATACAATGCAAAGTATAATTACCTTCAAAATAATTACTTTTGGATGACATGAAAATTCCTTCATGTCCCCTTGAAGACTGATAAAAAAATACACTCAGTTGCTTGCTCTGCTTATGAAAAATATCCTTACAAGTCAGCTGTCTTGAAGATCAAACCCATGAGACCTCTGAAGTTTGTCTTGAAAAGGCATATTCTTTTGAAGAAAGAGAGAAGAAATTGCATTTCTTGTTCAGTGGAGTTTCCCATGGCTTCCATGTCTTGGTATATCAGAATCTAGCATTCAGGTAGCTTATTAAGGAGTATTCTTAAGATCAACACCCGTGGAAGGGAGGGGCCAGCAGGATTTGGCTGAGGGAGAAATCAAACTGCATTGCATTCTCAGTGCCAGCCTTGGCTGGTCCTGGAGCATGAATGGGGTTGGGAAGACCCCCTGCAGCGCTTGTCCAGCTACAAGAGAGGAATAAGACTTGACATGTATATATCCATCGGTCGCTGGGTATAGTCTGCCCAAGGACGTAGGCACAACCTTGGGTGAGACAGCTCTTTCTGGCTGAGAGAGTCCTTTTGAGAGGTGATAACTGCACCCTGGTAGCTACCGTAATGAATCGTTTCTTTCTGAAGAGGCTTCTAGATGATGTATAACAGTGTCAGCCACATAAAACTGGGAGCTGGAATAAGTCAAAGTCTAAGAATTAATAAGGTATTACTCCCGGTGGAAGTCATTGGTGAAATTTTTTTCTGAATGCAATATTTTCAGTCATATTTATATAAGTTTCAGACCCCCAAAATATGTATCTGTTTCTATATGAGTAACAATTAACAACGTGCTTCCTAAATTTCTTGTCTCAACTGGATCAAAAATCCCCTTTTCACTGCAGCCTGAAGAATGTCACCCACTCATTCCTTTTGTCATTGGTTTTGTGGCACATTTGAGAGTCAGGACCAGAGTTTCCCCAAAAACATTTGGATTGTGCAGAGGAAATATGGAAATTGAAATGAAAATAGGAGGCGTGTCTAAGAGAGAGGAGACTGTAAGACTGGGACGGTGTCTACAGTGTCCCAAAATGGATATTGTATTGCTTAGTTTCTGTGGCCATTTGGAAAACATAATTTCATTGATGTACATAGCAGATCTTTATTTATTGCTAATCTTGGGCTAGATGCTAACTATTGAATGGTATACTAAATGTACCAATCTATTTGCTTGATCTCTTTTTAAGAGGGAAGAGGAAATAAAAACATAAAAGAGCTGAGTATGATGTGATACATTCTAGCACTCCGAAAGGCTGGTGCAGGAGTATCAGTGTTCAAGTCCCATAACTTAAATAGGGCTAGAAATGTGGCTCAGATCAAAGACCCTTGATTCAATCACTTGTAACACACACACACACACACACACACACACACAAATAGACTTATAGATTGTATTAAGTGTAGCAAAGGAAACAAAGAAGGTGACATGATTGACGTTAAGGCAGAGAGTCCCACTTCTGAAAAGAATTCTCAGAGACCTCACCAGAACAACATTCTGGGAAGCCCTGTGTTTCTTTTCTGTGGTTCTTAGTGAAAAAAATTAAAAGCGGGGAAAGGTAGGGTAGGAGGGAGGGAAAAAGAGCAGAAAGAAAGGTTCACTAAATGTGGTATTCTGTGGACCATCCTTTTATGCTGCTGTTATTGTTTCCAAGGAAATTAGAAAGTACTTGTTCTGTATTCTACTGCCATGAAAAATCTAAAACTCTTACACCCATCTCCCGAATAGGTCAAAGAAAATTGCTATATAAAAATTACTATGTTTAAGTGAGTATCACTGCTGTTGAAACTTTAATTAGTCTAAGTGGCACTGGAAGCCATGTAGCCAGGAAGGAAGCCGGTGGGGAAGTAAAAGGGGGACCACGCAGCTGTTTCGAGGGTGTGCACTTCCATAAAAATGTCATGCAGAACCCAGCATGAAACAGATGCTTAGCACATGCTTACTGAGCAGATGTACGCATATCGGTACGTAATTTTCTATGTAAATAGCAGCACCAACAAACACTGAGTATTTACCTACTCAATGTAGTGCTCTCTCCCACACCTTTGCGATTAAAAGGAAATGGTATGATTAGAGGTGATAACTAACTCATAGAGAATAAATACATATGCACTAGAACACATAAGAATACACAAGAAGCAGAGTATGAAATTCTTAAATGAATAAGCAACACCGTAAAGTTGCTCCTTTGGCTCTAAAAGCCAAACATATTGGTCTGAGGAAATGAAGATAATATTATCTAGTTTATTGGATCTCATTATGCCTTATGAAACCCATTCCAATTTCGTTACAGCTTCAAATTCATTGCACTAAACTTTATTTACAGCACAAATGCAGATGAAAATCATATTTTGGAAAGTACACTCAGATAGATAATTTTTAAAAATGTATTATACAAGTCAGTGAGCACATAGATATCTAATAGGGGACTGCATGAGGGCTGCTTTCAGAATAAATTAAGCCTCTTGGTTTTTCACCATTGCATGGTCCACTTGCTCAGGGAATCAGATCGGCCCTATGTAATCAGAGGGATGCAGTAAAAGTGATGCTGAGTGACTTTTCAGATTACTTCTCATCAAGCCTTGCAACTTCTGTCTTGAGTTTCTTGAAATATTCCTTCTGGGGGAAGTCAGAACTCTGAAAGAATTTAGTTGCTGTGTGACTCTCATGCTTTACAAGGAGACTACTGAAAGGAGGGAGAGAGAGAGGAAAAGAGAGAAGGAGAGAAACAGAGGGGGAGATAGGAAGAGAGACAGAGAGAAACAGAGACAGAGACATAGAGACAGAGAGAGATGCTTGGTTAGACCTAGCTATCCTGACCCCTCCAATTCGAGGATTAGATGTGAGGGGAGAAACTATGTCAGCTTTGCCAATTCTAGTGGACCCCGTTGAAAAGCACTGTAAAACTCCCAGCTAGAACTGAACCCATAGACATGTTATCCCATTGGTGAAATTTCTGTCTTCTTCAGATGGTTGAGCCACTCCAGTGAAGGCGAAGGCTCAGACCTCCCTAAGACGTCCGATCCCACCATGTCCTGACGCCCCCATCTAAGGGTAATATCCCATTCTCGGTTGCCAGTATGGCCATACATATTAAATGGTTACTTTTCAATCTGTTAATGATTTGTTACTCAGGATGCGAATCAGGACCAAAATTTGGTACCAGAGGTAGGTATTTTGTTATAACAAAATGAACATCTTTGTATTTGGAAGCATGTTTTGGGTCCACATGCAAGACCTGAAGTAGACTGTAGGAATGGAAGAATAATGTCAAAATTATTGATAGAAATTGTGATAGAACACAGAAAACATAAACTGTGTATGTAGCAGCAAGAAAACATATTTGCAAGAATGTTGGCTCCAATAGAAAGACAGTGGCAGTAAAACATGACCACAACTTCTTCCTTTAAGGGGTGGTAATGGAATTCTTCTCCTTGAGTGTGGGGTGCTTTGCTTCTAGTGGATAGAATAAAGTGAAAATGCATGACTTCTAAGAGTGTATCGTAAAGGGAACTTCATCTCTTTTATCTGTTTTGTAGAACTCTGTGGCAAGAAACCTATGACCCTAAGAGGACACCCAGGCCGAGCGTGCTCTGGGAGTTGGTGCGAAAGGAGCATTATACCAGGAGGTCCTTGGGAAGCCATGCCCTGTGATTAGCCTCAGGCTCCTGCAGGGCCGATGGATGCTGCTGTCCCTTCTAATGTGTTGACTGCAGCTTCAGGAAATATCCTGAGCCAGGACCATCTACCTGCAGCTCTACCAGATTCCTGATTTGCAAAAGTTGCATAAGAAAATACAATAGCTTTTGTTTAAACAACATGCTCAGATTTGGAAGCAATATTTTTTTACACAGAATAAATAATATGGGAGGATATGCACCTATGTTTATAGCAGTGCCTGGATAACTAAATTGTGGATACAACCCAAATGCCCATCAACTGAGGAATGGATAAAAAAGATGTGGTATTTTTATACAATGGAGTATTACTGAGCTATAAAAAAGATAAACTCGAGGCTTTTGTAGGTAAATGCATGACACTAGAGATCATACTCATAAGTGAAATAAATCAGACTCATGTGTAAACATCGTATTGTCTCCCTAGTGTAAGAACCTGAGAGAATAAATAAAATCTAAAAGGTACAATAGATATTGTGGAAGGGAAAGAAACTGCTCAAAAAGAAAGAATGACTGGGATGAGGGAAAAGAGAAAAGAAAGAAAGAAGGGAAAATATGTATATATGTATACACAAGATAGCTAAGATAATTGTACTACTAATTTTTATTGCTTTATTGAAAGGAACAGTTAATGTTTAATTGATCAATCTTACATGCCAATATTTGTTTGTGTGAGTAACCAATTTGAAGATAACAATATGTAATACAGCAACCACTGTTAATTTCCTATCACCTTGTCTGAAATTCTGTATTGCTTTTATTGTTTTTATGTTGTTTTGTTTACATCTGTGCATTTGTTAATATGTTTTTGTTCTTTTATCTTCAAAATGAATAATATGTGAGGGAATATAGATCAAATATGTATGAATATGTTGATTGGGTTTCATGGAGGTCAAAACAATATGGAAATGGTCAAGTAGGTCCTTTTAATTGTGTATAGTGAAATGTGGCTTAGAGAGATGAGCTAAGGAAGAAATCGCTCACTTTTCCATATGAATTGTGAACATATATAAGATCCAGAACTAGGTTCGGATGGCAAAAGAGTCTCAACCAAAGGATCTCAAATCAAGGACTAAATCTAGCATTTGTCAATAAACTATGACCTCAATACTACAATGGGATAAAATTTCCAGGGGGAGCTTACGTGTACTTTGCCTGTGGGTGGGATGTGGGTTGCTGTGACTGAGGGATGACTGGAGCTTGTACTGCCACAAAGGCAGCTGCAAAGGTATCACAAAGCCCACAAGTTTCTTGTGTGATGTGGCCTTCCTGATCCCGAATCCAGAGAAGACATTTGTTTCTCCACCGCCTGGAATCTGAGGTGACGCTAGGACAAGTATGACCACAGGGGTTCAAGGGAAGGGACACTGTGCTACTGGTCCCAGGAATAGATTTTGGCT